ACAGATCGATCACATTTATACCAAATGAAAGAGAAATATTTGCGTCTAATTATAATACAGATGTCAGGTTTTAGCCAAGCTGTTGAAAATTTCATATCAATTTCTCATGTGTATACTATTCAACTTTTGTATAAAATATTTTAAAAAAAATACCCGTGAAAAGAAATTCTGATAACGCCACATCAAAATTTCACATTTTCACTTTTCATTATCCAAATAAAAATTGCAGATAGAAGGCGAACAAGTAATATCTTGATGGCTCATGAGATTGTGAGGAGCTATAGCAGAAAACATAATTCTCCTAGGATTATGATGAGTATAGATATCAAAAAGGCTTTTGATACTATAAATTGGGATTTTCTTAAAGATATGCTTACAGGTCTTGGGTTCCCTGATATTTTTACAAATTGGATCATGGTGTGCATTTCATCTCCTAAGTACTCTATTTCTTTAAATGACACTCTTCATGGATACTTCAAAGGAGAAAGAGGTTTGAGACAAGGTGAACCTATCTCTCCTTATTTATTTACATTGGGTATGGAGTTACTGTCCAGGAAATTGGATATGCTCAAAGAGGACATGTCATTTAAATTCCATCCTAGATGTAGTGATCTAAAAATCACTCATCTAATATTTGCTGATGATCTCCTCCTCTTTTCAAAGGGTGACATACATTCTTTTAAGCTTCTTTTCAATTGCTTCAAGGAGTTTAGTAAAGTATCAGGTCTGGTAGCTAATCCAGAAAATGCAAAATTTTTTACAGTGGTGTCGATGATTATGCCAAAGGTCTGATTAGCAATTTCCTAAATTTTACAGAGGGTGCCTTGCCCATCAATTACCTGGGGGTTCCTTTGATATCTAAACATTTATCATATGCTGATTGTTCTCCCCTTTTAAATAAAATCTCAGATCAGTTACAAGCATGTCTGAAAAATAGAATTCTGTCTTTTGCTGGCAGATTACAGATTATCAAGAGTGCTATAATTGGCATTCAAATATATTGGACTTCAAATTATGTCTTACCTGTTAGAGTCTTGCAGAAAATTGATCAAATGTGCATGAATTTTCTATGGGGCAAAACAGATCAGAAGCACAAAATTCCTCTTGTTTCTTTGGATAAGGTTTGCTTGAGCAAAAGACATGTGGGTCTTGGCATCTATTCTGCAACAATTTGGAATATGACATCTATGCTGAGATTAATGTGACATATTCATGTTAATAAAGAAAGTCTGTGGATTAAATGGATACACAGTGCATATTTAAAGAATGATGATATATGGCCATGTTAATAAAGAAAGTCTGTGGATTAAATGGATACACAGTGCATATTTAAAGAATGATGATATATGGCATGTTCAAGCTAAAAACTGGGACTCTTAAATGGATACACAGTGCATATTTAAAGAATGATGATATATGGCATGTTCAAGCTAAAAACTGGGACTCTTGGATATGGAAGAAGATATTGAAAGTCAGAGATAAGTCTATAAACATTTGTGGAGGTGTAAACAACTTGTTGCTGCTCATTCAATCTTGCTCAGATAATTCAAGGATCCAGCTTTCAGCATTGTACAATGCTCTCTCCCCTAATTCTTCAGTAGTGTCATGGCATAGAACAGTTTGGGAGACTACAAACATCCCCAGTCACTCCTTTATTTGTTGGTTAGCAATCCAAGATAGGTTGCTCACTATTGACAGACTGATTAAAAGGGGGATAGTGAACACTAACAATTGTTGTATGTGTACTGGTTCTGAAAACAAAAATTATCTCTTCTTTGATTGTTGCTATTCAAGAGAAGTATGGTTAAAGTCATGGATTGGCTTCAGTTCATGTGGCAGTCCTGTGATTGGAATCAGCTTATGAATTGGTATTGTTGTAGATTGAGGGGGAATGGATTCAAGCAAATGATTAAAAAGATGACTCTTACTACAACAGTATATAGCATATGGAGAGAGAGGAATTTCAGGATTTTCAAACAAGAAGCAAGGCCAGCATGTCAACGCTTTAAAGATATCAAATTCAACATTTATTCAGATGTTTTCAACGGCTCTTTTAAAACTGAAGACGTACGGAGAAGGGATCATTTCACTATGATATGGAGTGTTTTCATTGAGGAGTTTTCAAAAGAGAAATATAAGCAGTGATTGTGTGTAACTCTTAACCTCAGCTACTTGGTTATATGCTGAGATTTCTTTTTTTTCATTATGGAGTGTTTGTTTGAGCTCTGTTCTTTGAGCTCTAGATACAAGATTTGTTATCTCATATATGTGATGAGATTCTTGTTGTACATTCATTTCTACATTTGGTGATGAATAATTTTTTTTTTCATTTACTAAAAAAAAAGTAGTAATTCTACAAGAATTAATGTACTTTCTTTTCACTTTCTACTTTCCATCTTCCTTCCTGCTACCAAACATGCATGCCAAAAAACATTGACAATCATCTTAACTAATCTAGAATTAATTCAAACACAACTAAAGTCTTCTTTTTCCTGAGAAGATTTTTTTAAATCTGGTTATGTATTATAATAAACAACAAAGATAAACACATTCACAGTCAAAGAAGCTATAGATACATAGGAAGATTAAAAACATTAATGCATCTAATTAACATACGACACACAACATGAAGCACAATTACACCCTCACAAACGATGAAATCACGGACAACAATCACAATGCAAGACTCTCATCAAAGAAACACGTACAGGACAGTACCGTAGTACTCTAACTATTAAATCACGGGCTCGTCTTTGAAGGCGGGGATAAAGGGAGACCAGGGATATTCGGAATAGTAGGAATCTTGGGCGTCGTCGGAATAGTAGGGATAGAAGGCAATATTGGAGGTAATGCCACCTTAGGTAAAACAGGAATAGCAGGAATATCAGGCTCAGGAAGCTTCGGAAGCCCTGGAATTGTCGGGAGGTCCGGAAGTGTGCCTAACAGATGGCGAGCTCCATAAGAGACGTTGATGGTTAACAGGATGGAAGCAGCAATCAAGAGGAGGGGCTTCGTGCTGAAGGCCATTGTGATACTGAGAAAGCGTGACTTTAGAATGTACATATGGGGTCGGCTTTTATACCGGACGAGGTTTGGGATTAGCCGAACGTGGTGGTTTTGGTGGTTGGCTGTGGTTCAATTCTCTCATGTGTGATTGAGAGGAAGTTGTCAGATCTGGATGCAGCTGTAGGGGTGAGCTGGAAAAATGTATGGGTTTTATATTGGCATTGCATCTGTATTCTTATCTTTATATCTCTTAGACTCTTTCTTGATCCACACACGCTTGTGTATGGCACTTCTATTGGTTGGTGCCGAATTACAGTTGTGGTTGCGGACATGAGCCTGTATATATCTGTGGACCATCAAGGCAAAATGTCTAGTAAATGTGAAAACAAATTACAGGAAAATTCAACACTGTAGAAATGCAGATGGTTTCTAAAATTCGGAGTTCAGATAGGGTTCGTTTGGTATCACTGTTTTGAACCTAATATACCTGTAGTTAGGCGTGTCCATCCGACCCGGCCCGGAAAGCCGGACAAAACCGGGGCCCGGACCTGGGCCCGGTTGCCCCGGTCCGGGCTCGGGTTAGGGCCTGAGCGGGCTGGGCTTTGGAGCCCGGCCCGGTTTTTTTTTATTTTTTTATTTTTTTTAAATCTCTTTAAAACTCCAATTTTACATAAATTTTTTACACAAAATTTTAATAAAAAGCAAAAATCACTTGAAATTACATAAATTACAAATAAAAAAATTTATAAAAAAGACAGATGATAAAAATAACTTCTTTAGTAATAATCAGTAAATCCTTAATAAGTATAAATTTATTTCGGAATTCGTCGTATCACAATAGATGAATACATCCCAACTAGGTTGGCACCTACTCACCTATATCACTATCATTTGTAACTGTTTCCAAAATAATTCATTACAAAATTTAACTAAGAAATAAAAATTATAATTTGATGAATATTATTTAATCTTTATATCAATCTGTTAGTCCCAATTCTTCAAATTTATCTTCAATTCCAGCCATCCGATCGATACATTGCGTTCTCTTCTCATACCTCCACTAATCTTGTAAGCGCATCACCGTCTGTACAGTATACGGATCTAACGATGTCTTGTGGTCGTCGATCAAACGTCCTGCTGTGCTAAAGGCGGATTTTGAAGCTACCGTCGAAACCTGCATTGTTAGTAAGTCACGAACCATGATGAAAAATATAGGATATAAAACTTATCCATATACTCTCCACCATTGCAAAATATCTAAATTGTTATTTTGATATTTAACTAAAGAAGCAGATAAATATTCATCTATTTCAGAAACCTCCAATGATGATCCAAGTGTTAGACCCTAGTTGGGTGATTAGGGTCTTGTGCTAATATAATCCAATTTTATGCTAATTAAAAACTAATTCAAATATTATTCTTGCAAGCTAGATATACAATATGTTATAAGCAAGAATAAGCAATATGAACAAAGGGAAATATCCTAACAATGAGATATACTATGAGATATATGAGCTAGGATAAATGATATACACAAGGGTAAACAAAATAAACAAGATAGTGGGTGATATAAATAATGAACAATGGATAATGACGATAAGAAATATATGTTTTCGTCAAAAGTTGCCTTCATCATTGATTTCATTAGAAACTTCAAACGTTACAAATGAATTCAAATAACGAAAATAAAAATTACAACTTTCTTGAAAATAAACACAAGATCCGTTTATCGTCTCTTGCTTGCGTGGGTCTTTGGCCTGTGACGGGGACGTCGATATCCGTGGACTACCTGGCAATCAGATTTGATCCAGAAAAATCGGGCAGAGCTTCGTCGATCCGCGAGGAGATCTAGAAGCTTGAAGCGCCTATCTCGGCTAAAGCGAGATATTTGCTCTTCTTAGGATTACCGGCGAAGGGTAATACTAAGGAACGGACACGGGTGATGAAGAATCTGATGAAGACCTCTCCTCTGTTGAAGCGCTCGACCACTCTTCACTGCAGCAGGGCTTCGCCAACTCTCCAAAAATCCAGATCCTCCAAAAATGAGGCCTTAGGTTGCTATTTATAGGCAATGGGGGCACCTAGGGTGCCTAGACACCCCTGGGGTGTCTAGGAAAAGCCTAGACACCCCTGGGGTGTCTCGGAAAATCCGAGACACCCCTAGGGTGTCTCGGAAATTTTCGAGACACCCCTGGGGTGTCTCGGAATTTCTGAGACACCCCTGGGGGTGTTTTGGAATTCCTGAGACGTCCGTTGAGGTGCATTCGATTGTTTTCACCGTAAATTCTTCGTCCGAACTCGGATTTGAGTGATTCCAAGTGCGTTGGAAGCTTGACGAAGAGTTCGATCCGCTCCGGTGGTTGGATTATCTGTAAAATGAACGAGACACGAAGGGCGTTGTTCTTTTTGCAACATCGCGGGGCTCTCGATTAGCCCGTGCCTTTGTTATCCCGAAATCCTATCAGCTCACGTAGTTCGTCGATTCACTTCAATCGTTCATCGACGTCAATCGAACTCCTGTGGATCGGATAGTGACGTTCATCGTCGCTCTTTAACACTGAACCGTTCGTGGAGACCTATAGGCAATTTTCGATGCCTACAACCTTATCCAGATTTTAGCCTACTAGTCTCCACGACTAGTCATCCGCTCATGTGCCTTCTGCCATGCTCTCAATCACTTCTCGAAAAATGCGGAGACACCCTCTTGTTGGCCGTTAGCTTCAACTCTTGGCTCCTTCGATTTTCGGTCTATTCGATGCTTTGACGAATAGCTGAAGTTCTTTCGGCGCTGCGTTTATCGCTTGGCCGTCGTCGGAGTCTAGAGTCTACAGCTGCTGAATGGAGTTTGGCTTGTGTCATTGAGTTGACTTTGAACTACCTCCGTCACATTGTGTTGACTTAGGGTTTCGGATCACAGTATGTTGACTCTGGTTGCAACGCGTTGACTGGCGTTGTCCTAGGGTTACGCGTTGACCTGCGTCGACCCTAGGTTTCGAATCGTCAAACGTTGACTTTGGTCGCAACGCGTTGACTGGCGTTGACCTAGGGTTACGCATTGACCAGCGTTGACCCTAGGGTTTCGAATCGTCAGATGTTGACTTTGGTTGCAACGCGTTGACTGGCGTTGACCTAGGGTTACGTGTCGATCGGCGTTGACCCTAGGGTTTCGAATCGTCAAACGTTGACTCTGGTTGCAACGCGTTGACTGGCATTGACCTAGGGTTACGTGTTGACCGGCATTGACCCTGTTGACTTTAGGATTTTTGGCTAATCCCCAGCCTTCAACGGATTTGATTAGCCTTTACCGACTACCGTTTGAGTCGGGCTAGCATGCGGATTGTTTAAGTCCGTTCCGCATGTGACGTTGTGCTAAGAGAGTTAACGCTCTTAGTGCTACGATATTGAATACGTAGACTTCGTCTTTCTCACGGGAATAGACTACCCGGCGACGCGTGTTAGGCGTTGACTTTAGGATTTTTGGCTAATCCCCAGCCTTCAACGGATTTGATTAGCCTTTACCGACTACCGTTTGAGTCGGGCTAGTATGCGGTTTGTTTAATCCCGCTCTCCTGTGACGTCAAGCTAAAAGAGTTAACCCTTTTAGTGCTACGATATTGAATACGTAGACTTCGTCTTTCTCACGGGAATAGACTACCCGGCAACGCGTGTTAGGCGCTGACTTATCCTTACTTAGGATTCAGGATAAAATTCCCCGTGCGTGTGAGGCACGGATTATGGTGTTATTAATAACAACCTGCCACAATGTTGAATATGTGGTCTTTTGTCCTTTTTACGGTCAAAGACTAACCGGCCATGTGTGTTAGACATAGGCTTTGGGATTTTTGGCAAACCCCCAGC